CAGCAATTCCAATTCGACGTACGCTATCGACGAGGTAAATTGAACGTCGTGGCCGACGCACTTTCGCGACAGCCTTGTGAGATACTGCAGGGTGCTGTCGAACTCGAGGACCACTGCGACTGGATCAAAAAGATGAAGGAGCAAATACAGGAGGAACCCGAGAAATTCGCTGACTACATGATCGAAAACGACCAGCTCTACAGGAACATGGGTTACCGAGCTGACGATGAGGACTACTTCCCGTGGAAGCTTTGCGTGCCAACTTCCCGTAGAAACCGCGTCTTACGTGAATGTCACGATTCCCCGACCGCAGGACACTTGGGAGTCCGAAAAACAATTACGCGTCTGACCCAGAGGTATTTCTGGCCCGGTATGTATCGCGACGCGAAACGCCATGTTCGCCATTGTGAATCTTGTCAAAGGTTTAAGACGGAACAAACCAAAGCGGCAGGTAAGATGCTAACCCGGGTTGTCAGCGAACCTTTCGACATTCTCTGCGCGGATTTTGTAGGCCCGCTACCCCGGTCAAAACAAGGTAATACCATGCTTCTGGTGTTTCACGACGTATTTTCGAAATGGGTAGAACTGATACCACTCCGGAAAGCTACCGCAGCTCAAGTGCAGAAAGCGTTTCGGGAACGTATACTTGCGCGAGTGGGCATTCCCCGGAAGTTCGTGTGCGACAATGGAACCCAGTTCACAAGCCGGGTCCTGAAAGACTATTTCACCCAGCTCGGCGTAGAAGTCCAGTACACGGCTCCATATTGTCCACAAGAGAATCCCACAGAAAGGACCAACCGCACTGTGAAGACGCTGATATCCCAGCTGTCGGAAGGCGACCAGAGTTCGTGGGATAGTATGCTGCCAGAGATATCCCTCGCGATCAATAGCAGTGTATCGGATTCGACGGGGTATAGTCCCGCGTTCCTAACTCAAGGACGGGAACCACGCTTGCCTGCGATGCTGTATGATGAACTGACCCCCGGATCGGCGGTCGTGCATACAGGTCCTGAAGACAAGGCGTCTCACCTCAAAGGCATCTTCGACATCGTACGAGCGAATCTTCAGCGAGCGTCTCAAGACCAGGCGAGACACTATAACCTACGAAGGCGAGAATGGAGACCCACGCTCGGCGGTCAAGTTTGGCTGCGTCAGCATCCCTTATCGAAAGCAGCCGAGGGATTCGCCGCCAAACTTGCTCCCAAGTATGACGGCCCTTATACCGTTACAAAATTCACATCTCCGAACTTGGTACGCCTGCAACGTCCCGGAGATCGACGGCGACGCATCGCCAACATATCCCAGCTCAAACCGTACTACGCAGAAGCCCCTCCGGATAGGATCGACGATAGTATTGTCGGATCGAACGACCCGATGCAGTAAGCGGCATACAGCCGCAGAATAGTATAACAACTAGTCTAGTAAACATTGTATAACCACTGTATAACCTCTGTATAACCACCGAATAACCATTGTGTAACCAGTAGAGTAACTATTGTATAACCATTATAACAGATTAAGGCCGAGTCCTTTGTTAGCTACACCGTCAGGTAGGGAGTTCGAAGAGGTGGGGCAATATCAATAAGTTAAGTTTACCATTTCAGATGGATGAAGTAATTGTGTTGTCGGACGACTCCAACGACACGGAGGTCTTCCACATGGAGACGAGTCATCATGACGGAGGCGACGAAGCGATGGAAAGGGAGTTCCTCACGTCGGACGGCGAAACAGACGGTAGCTCGGTGGAGACAGACGACTGTTCCCAGGCTCCGGAAGGATCCCGGTTCGCAGGACTCCGCGGAGGCTTGTGGAGCCCCCGACCCGACGGGTCGCGACAATATCATCATCCGACGTCGCCCCAGTCTGCTCCCTACCGCCTGGAAGACGACGAAGACGACGCCAGTGACCGGGATTCGGAGATGTTCAGCAGGCCCCCACGTTCCAGGGAAAGCTCACCAGGTGGGTCCAGCGGTTACCCCAACGGACGACGACCAGGGGAGCCGTACTATACGGAGTCCCGACGGCCCACCTCGGAGGAGCAGTACCCGTGGACCCGACGCGACCCTCGGTCAGGCCATCCGGGTTACCCAAGGCCCAGTCCTCCACGATTCCCAGACGTGGAACATTCGTACCATCATACGTCCGAAGACCAGGTCTGCCGGTATGCGGGACACGTCTCGTTCATGCGCATCGACGTCCGCTCGGTAGTAGTCAAAGTCCCGGGGTTGCCTGCAGAGGGACCCTACGTCGACGAACCGCCATCCCCGCCTCTGCCCCCGGCGTTGGAAAACAACAGAGCGACAGACCCCGACGTTGACGTCGAGAAGGCAGTCGGCGAGAGGATAGGACAACCGAGGACCCCGCCCCGACGTACGGTAGTGCCCCCCGTGTCGGTGTCTCTAGGGGTTCAGACATCCCCAGTCGTGGAGCGGGTCAAGGAGACGAAAATGTCTAGCCAGAGTACCCAGACCTCTCCGGCTAACCAAGATCGGGTACAGGAGGTAGAACCCGTACAGGAAGCGGGACTCCCCGAACCTAGGGTCATAACATCAGACTCCCCGGATCCCGTATACCTGGCGGGATTCGAACTGATCTCTGACAGCGAGGACGACGAAGGGGAAAGGCCATTATTCCGCCGGTGTTTCCAGACGTCGCCGCAGCAGGATCTGCGGGGCGTGGACACCTCGGCCAGATCTCGGCCAGATTATCCCTATCGAGGCGACGCTGGACAGCGGTGGAACGGGGCCGTAGATCCCCAGCACTTCCCCAGCTGTGCTCATCCAATCGACCAGCTGACCGAGTGGGAAGATCGCTTGTTGGACCAGGTCCTAATGGATATTTCGGAGATCGATTCGACCGAATCCGCCGCTAGGGATACCCCACCGAATGCCACGACGACGGACGGCGTAGAAGCCGTGTCGGATTCCGCACTGGAGTTGACGGAACCCGCAGGAAGGGAGGACGACCTCTGCCCCTTGCCGGAGGGCTGGATTGGTGGTAGCGGTTTACGTTACCTACCCAGACGTATCGTCCAGGAAATCCAGAGGAAGGTAGCGACCCGGGCCGGCCGCGGACGCCGAGTCCGCATAGCCATAGGAGGCGACGGACTCCGCTTCATCGTCACCATCAAGAGCGACGGGCGCCTCTTTATCGCGCCGCGGGAAGAAAGGGGGGGGTGTAACGTACACACTTAGGCGTACGATACAATTTTTGAATAATAATATGTTAGGTTATAGGTATAAGCGTCAGACCGTGAATATTAAATATTAAGTTAGTAGTATGTAAGTTATAGGTGTAAGTGATCCATAATGAATAATAAATTTTAAGTTGAAACTGAATATTAAGCTAAGTTCCGAACCCGAGTGGCAACGCCAGCAGATTTTAGTGGGTAAGGAAAAATACTAGAAATTAAGGAATATGCTAGAAATCCCGAAAGTGGGAAAAAGGGAACGTGGGGTAGGTGGTCTCACACCGATCGAGCAGGCGGTCTCTCGTGCCGGAAAAGTAGAACGGAGCGGACGCGCCTCCCTTAACTCGCTTGACGGATAATTCGAGTAACGCCTCGACCGCGCGAAGGCACGCGGTTAATGAAGAAGTGAACTTGTGAGTGTGTTTGAGGTTAGTGTATGCAAAATTCCTATCCGTCAGGCAAAGACGGTGTAGCGGACTCATAGGAAGACAGTAGATAAATGGAAAGATAATAATAATAATAATAAAACAAAGTAAATTCCATGATCGTGATTCTTTTTATTTATAGTAGCCTAGCTCCCTTCCTCGTAGTGCATGTGACCTGTACGTGGACATCCGCCCCGTCCGGTCTGGTATTCTAACCTCACTCCCCGTAGTATTTGGGACCTGTACGTGGACACCCGGCCCGTCTGGTCCAGTATCTTGGTTCCCCACATCGTAGCATTTGAGACCCGACGTGGACACCCATCCCGTTCGGTCTAGTATCTTAGATTCCCCCCTCCCTCGTAGTGCATGGGGCCTGTACGTGGACATCCGTCCCGTCCGGTCCAGTATCTTAACCTCACTCCCCGTAGTATTTGGGACCTGTACGTGGACACCCGGCCCGTCTGGTCCAGTATCTTGGTTCCCCATATCGTAGCATTTGAGACCCGACGTGGACACCCATCCCGTTCGGTCTAGTACCTTAGATCCCCCTCCTCGTAGTGCATGTGACCCGTACGTGGACACCCGGCCCGTCTGGTCTAGTACCCTAGTTTTCCTCCTCGTAGCGCATGCGACCGGCACGTGGACACCCGGCCCGTCTGGTCTAGTACAATAGCTTTCCTCTTCATAGTGCATGTGACCTGCGCGCGGACATCATTCCCGACTGGTCAATCGTACCGCCATCCTTTCTCCTCCAATCCCCCCTCGTGTCCGACAAATCCTATCCGGCTTGGCCTCGCCCGAAGGTCCAGCCCGGTGGATTTTTGGCATCCGATACATCGAGAACGATTTGCGCGCGACGCAACCCCACCCGGCATCCCCATACTCGCGAAACCGTTCGTCTGGCTTGGCCTCGCCCCAAGGTCCAGCCCGGTGAATTTTTGGCCTGCGACACGCGGAAAGCGACTTACGTGTCCCAATCGCGGAAGTGATCAGCGGGACCATCCGGCGTCCCCATACTCGCGAAAACTGTTCGCCTGGCTTGGCCTCGCCCTAAGGTCCAGCCCGTGGAATTTTTAACCCAGGAGCAAGGTACGGCGTGACCAACTCCGACACCAACTCTCTCTCTCCTGGCGTCTATGAGAACCTTCGGTGTGACTCCCCAAACGACTCATTCACTCGTTGAATGATACTCTCTAGTCCGGTGTTTCGGTGATTTACAAATTTCTTGTAAAGGACTCCTGGATCTGACTGAGATCTGTACCCCGGCCAGAGAGCATCCTTACAAATTTTAGAAAATTGGTTTTAAATTTAAAGAAATATGGGGACATACATTCTTTGTGTACATTAAAAAAATAACTTTTTTACTTTACTGTATTTATTTTTAGGAGGATCTTTGCCACATAGACCCAAGTAAACTGTTATTGGAAAGTATTGGACGTGGCTTCTTCTACAATTATTCTTGTGAGGGCTTTAATTCTGCTGGCTGGGGTCCACGCAGCGAAGACAAAGAATTGATGGTTGGTAAAAGTTGTTTTTAGTTAAGTTATTGTAAACTACATTTTTTTCCAACGTACTTTTAAACAGGTGCATTACGAGCCCGGATCTGCTGCACTTACTCTTTTTCCCCTAGTCGCCGTAAAGAAAAAGAGCGTGACATTCACGTGCTCCGTAGATGATCCCGGCTACCCAAACTCAAATAGGTTTGTAACACAGCAAGTCAACCAGAATCACAAAATTACGAAACCACACAACGCACCACTTATTAATTTCTATACCGTCCAAGCACTGCAACAGCACGAAGCTGACATTGCTTTCGAAAAGCTGCTGCTGCATAAACATCAAGAACTACTTCAGTACGGTGCTTCGTCACAAATATCATCACGAACATTAAAGGCCAACGCATCCCACCCAGCTCACGAAATTAAAGAAACTCATGCTCTGATTGATTTACATTTAAACCAATTTCCTTGTACATTACTCACGATTACCTCACACATGCCACAACCGCAAATTTTAACTCTTTACACGGGGGTACAGCTAGAATCCGATTCGTACGCTTCCGCATCGTCCTATGCCCTTTACCGAAAAATGGGAAAATTGTCGTTTGTTGCTCAAATAGTTTCGAAACCCAACAGATTTCGTTGGCTACGCGGCGGTCGAGGTCCTCTCCAGGACATTGTGACGAAGGACTGGACGGTGGAGCCGGTCGGCCTAGATAGTCGGACCAATTATTCTTGCTACGCATTCAACGAGGGGGGCAAAGGCGAAATGGCTACAGTCAACTTGGAGGTACACGCACCACCGTTTTTTATCAAGAACTTGCCACCTTATACGGGAATACTGCACACCACGGCCAATGCCAGTTTGACCTGTCGCATTGAGTGCGTTCCGCGCTGTGAAATATCTTGGCTAAAGGATGGAGAGCCGATACCGAAAAACGATACTCGCTATTTTGTTAAGGAAAAATACATGGAATCATCGCCAGCCACAGGCGACTTTGAAAGCATGTTATCAGTTTTGGTGAGTACGATACATTTTTATTTGAAAACCAAACATTTTAAATTCCTAGTCCCAATTTTGTATATTCATAAAATGAATACAATATTTATTGTAATCACTGCGTTAGACATTTCCGTCGATATAAAGTACATATTTTATTTATTCATGATCAGGGTCACTAAGACAGTCGGTCTAACAATGTCCGACCGCCTGTCTTTTTTTTTTTTGAGCAAACTAGTTTCTCAGCTTTAAAGCTATCTACACAGGCTGTCCCAAAGTAAACAGGACTTTTCCTATAGGGAGATTCCTGGTAGCACTACCAGAAGATAGTAGTAGATTTGTTGGAAAGCTATATCGTTTTACACTTACAGTAAAAATTGCATGACATTTGATTTACTAAAAGCTACTGCGCCAAAAATAACAGTATGTTTGCGTCGTCGGTATAGAAATTATCATCGAAGAAAGATGCAAAATTAAGTTTTGTTTTAAACTTGGTAAACTTCACGTTTCGTCACTAGACACTATGTTGTACAGGAAGTATTTTTCCCTGGTCACCAGCGATTTTGTCCGGCACATCCGATTTTTTCAATGCAGTGTGCACACTAACAAAACAATAACTAAAATACAGGTTCTCTCTCTCTCTGATCCGGATTCGATCCGATGTTCGGCTCAAAAAAAAAAATAAATATGTCTTATAATAACAACTTCGTGAGACTTTTTTGATTAGTGCTCACATCAAAACAGTTTGGATATATTTTTATTCATAACTTAGTTTAACAATTAGCATTAGTAAAGATTTCAAGTTTTCTGCGCTTCTCATTTAAAAAAAAGAGCATATGAAGCAAAACTGAAACTTTTGAATGCGTTTGCTGCCGACTCATACTCAAAGTAGTCGATCAGTTTTTTCTTTGACCATTTGAAATGGTTGACAGGTGAACACACCTCCCGGTTAACCAAATGGCTGATCAAAACAGTTTGAAGGAACCTTTTCCGGTCTGATACGGTATTGGTTCGTATAATGTTACGTTTGTGCTAGAGAACATAATTTTATATTCGTTTATAATCTTTGAATAAATATGTCGACCGTTAACGACAACGAATGTATTTTGTAACCTCCGCCGTGTGATTAAAAAATATAGTGAAAATAACCGAAGTTTAATTCGCGAAAAGACGCTCAGGGTAGGCATGAGTACGTGTGCTCGTGTCGCCCGTGATAATTTTCCATTTTTTCTTCATGTCAGAGCGCAAACTCTAAAAACATAGTTAAAAAATTTTGCAACGCCCGGCAACAGCAACAAGACGAACGTAGGCTCTCGTCATTCAGAAATAACGCTAGCTTCTCTATAACAAGGGATCAGTTATAAGAGGGGATCAGTTATCAGCACCAAAAAAATCTGCAACAGTGCAAGCGGTCACGGAGTGAGCTGCCCAACCGGCCAGATACAAAATGAGCCATGGAGTTACCAATGCCCGTCCCCCGATCCGTACAACCTTATCAACAATTTGTTAATTACAACAACTACCAGCACAATGCGCTATCTTTTAAACTGTGACATCGACCCTAACGACAACAAATTTAATAACAGCTCAAATCTACCCAAACAAAAGGTGACAAAAATGCAAACGAAGCGTTACTAAAAACTGGAATCGATCGCAATGTGCAGTTGAATAGGAAACTAAGCCCACAATCGAAAAAGAAATATTATGAATCGTGAAAATTTAATACTATTTTGTATTAACAACGCGAAAAACTTTGTGAACGCAGTAGTTCTGGCGATTTTAATTTGCGAAAATTGTGAAACTATGTCGAAAGCGCGACGAAAGGGAGTGGCTACGATGATGTTCGATTTAGCGCATAATAAGGGCTCAGTCGTTTGTCTATTCTTATAAATGGTACTTATATAGGCAACAGCACCAAACGCCTTTTCAAAAGTATCCACAAATATGTGTTTTTCTTGCTTTTAAGATATTTTTCAATGCTAAACCTGTCGCGCTACAGTCAATTTATTTAAACTGAAAATTTAATAATATTTTGTATTAACAACGCGAAAACTTGTAAACGCAGTAGTTCGAGACGATTTTAATTGCGAAACTTGTGAAAACTATGTCGAAAGCGCGACGAAAAGGAGTGGCTATGATGACGTTCGATGGATCACTAACAATTATATTTCAATAATTTCTCTTAGAACCTAACTTATGCTACGGTGGCGAGAGACGGGGCGAATTCGCAAGAGCGAACAGACGAAAGCTTTATTGGCTCCCGCTCTCGCCCTACAACTAGTGATTTACATACAAGCGCTGAGTGCGCAAACACCGCCCCCTCTGAAGGGACGACGTCCTTCAGCCCAGAACGGGCAACAGGGCCAGTCGGTGAACAGCTCGCCGATATTCGCCGTCCTGCGTCCTGACGTCCGCCACGCGAACCTTGCTATCGGCGCCGGCGTGCACCGCTACCACTCGTCCGATCCTCCACTGCTGGGGCGGAAGATTGTCTTCTGCGACGACGACGAGCGCTCCCACGACGAGGTTGGGCTCCCCCTGGTGCCACTTGGACCGCTGTTGGAGGCTGGAGATGTACTCCCGGGACCATCGCTGCCAAAACCTGTGCCTGAGAGACGAGACACCTCGCCATCGTCGCAAGCAGGTCAGGCTGATCTGGTCCGGGAGCGCCGCTGATGGTGGGGCCAGAAGAGGCTTTTTGCGACTTTTGGATGAGTTGCTTGCGCCATCTCTCCTAGCCGCATTAAACACCGAATCGCCAAAAAGGCTGCTGGCGAAGTTCCATATGTAACGGTGTTCAACTTAAAGATTTTCAGGGACTCAGAAGGATCTCGTCTCCATACTATGAGCTGGAAGGGCCGCCGATGAGCAGGTGCCCGGGGGTCAGGGCCTCGCTGCTTAGAGCGCCGAGGGGCCTGGAGTTGAGCACGGCCTCCACGCTGGTGAGCAGAGTTCCGAGCTCCTCCGCGGTCAAGAGGTCTTGGCCTACCGTCCGAAGGAACAGGTGCTTTGCAGACTTCACACCTGCCTCCCATAGTCCGCCGAAGTGCGGTGCTCTGGGCGGTATGAACGCAAACTCGCATCCTTTTTTTGATGCGAATGTTTCGATACCGCCCCCCTGCTCCTCCAGACGGGCTCGGAACTCTCTCATGTGGCGATCTGCGCCGACGAAATTGGTGGCGTTGTCGCACCACACCTTCTCCGGAATCCCGCGACGACTCACGAACCTTTGAAATGCCAACAAGAACGCATCAGTGGTTAGGTCAGACACTAATTCTAAGTGGACCGCTTTGGACGCAAAACAGACGAACAAGGCCACGTACGACTTGTACGGTGGCTTACCACGGATACGATACGTTGTGCTGAAGGGACCACAAAAATCAACGCCACAAATATTGAACGGGCGGAGAGCTCGAAGTCTATCTGCTGGCAAGTTTCCCATAATTTGCGTCAAAAGTTGCGGCTTACAGCGAAAGCAGCGCATGCACGACCGAACTGTTCGTCGGCAGACTTCTTGAGCATTAACTAGCCAGATTTTCTCGCGCAGACGACTTACGAGAGCTCGTGGGCCAGCGTGACAGTTCGTAACGTGCAGGTATGACACATAGGATCTGACGAACTGTGAGCTTTTAGACAGCAACAACGGGAATTTGGCTTCGTACGGGATAGGAGCATTCAATAACCGACCCCCAACTCGTAGCAATGTCGAGGAGCACCAATCCAATTTATTTTCCTGAAGAAAAGGGTTTAACTTTTGAATATTCGTTGCTACCGGTTTATTCTTCCGAATTTTACTTATGTCGTCCCTGAACTCGTGAAATTGGACAACTTCGACAATTTGATCAAAAGCGAAATCCAGTTCTCTTGGCGAAATACTTTTTTCAAAGGGCTTCGACACCTTTCTGCACCTTTGAATAAAACGAAAAACCCACACGAAAACTCTCAGAAGCTTCAGGTGCGACGAAAAGGACTCTATTTTCTGAAGCACATAATTTGGCTCTGGGCTGACTACGAGAGCTATTGCCGATTTGCGTAGCTCCATCGACATTACATCAGCCGGCAGTTCGAAATGTTTATTTACAGGCCAATTATTTTCTGAGTCTAGCAAGAACGAAGGCCCACCGAACCAAATGGACGTTGTAAGCTCCTCTACGTCACATCCTCGGGACACTATATCTGCTGGGTTGACTTTCGTGGGAACGTGTCTCCAAATTGCTTTCTCCGACCACTCCTGAATTTCTGCAACCCGGTTCGAAACAAAAACCGACAACGACGAGGGTTGGGTTTTAATCCAGTGTAAAGTGATCTCGGAGTCTGTCCACAGGAAAACATTCTCAATGGGAGAATTTAGCAATGGCCTGACACGATTATAGAGATCTGCTAAAAGGTGAGCTGCACACAGCTCAAGGCGAGGCAAAGTTTTCGTCTTGAGGGGAGCTACTTTCGATTTGGCGGTCAACAAAGACACTTTCAAACCTTCAGCAGTTTGAGTCCGAACGTAGATGCACGCTCCATACGCTCGCATGGAAGCGTCAGCGAAACCATGTATTTGAATCGGGGCTTGTGGATCTGTGTTGACGAATCGCGATACCTTAATTTTAGGCAGCTGCAGAAGCGTTGCTTTAAACGTCTCCCACGACGTGAGCAACTGCATCGGTAGCGACTCGTCCCAATCTAATTTTCGAAGCCACAGTTCCTGCAACAACATCTTTGCCTTTGTGACCAAAGGACACAAGAGACCAAGTGGGTCGAAAAGTCGAGCAGTCACCGACAAAATATTTCGTTTTGTCGCGCGAAGATCCAGGAAAGAGTCATCCAACAGAAATTGAAAGTAATCTTTAACCGGTAACCAAACCACGACAAGGGTCTTGGTTACGTCTGAGTCTGCCATAAGTGGCATTACAGCGCTATCAGATGCGGATAACTCTGGGCAGTTTGAAAACCACTTTGCCAATTCAAAGCCTGCCTCTTGCAAGACCTGAGAAACTTCGTCTCGAAGGCTTTGCAGGTCCTCAGCGCAT